ATTTTGGAGGGACGTCCAGCTCTTGGTAATGTCACTGTTGCACCATATTTTCTCCACTTGATGATGACTGACTTCACTGTGTTCCATGGTATATCTAATGCCTTGGAAATTCTTTTGTACCCTTCTCCTGACGGATACCTTTTAACAATGAGATCCCTCTGACGCTTTGGAACTTCTCTGCGGACCATGGCTTTTGCTGTAGGATGCGACTAGGAAAATGTTAGGAATAGCCTACTGGAACAGCTGAACTTTATATGGGGTTAATCAGAGGCACTTTAATTGATGGCAGGTGTACTGACTCCTATTCAACATGAGTTTGAATGTGACTGCTTAATTCTGACAACAGTCACAGCCCCACAGTAAGAGGGTGTGCACACTAATGCAACCACATTATTTTAGTTTTTTTATTTTTACTTCCCACTGAAAAACAGATTTCAGTTTGTTTTCAATTGAGTTGTACAAGTTATAGGTCACATTAAAGGTGGCTAAAGTTCTGGAATTATTTATCTTGGTCTCGTTTTTTTACATCACAGAAACCTGGCATTTTAACAGGGGTGTGTAGACTTTTTATATCCACTGTATGTCGGAGCTGCAGAAGTACAGGTGTACTATGCCTAATCAAACTTTAACACGATTGCTGCAGACAAACCAGAAACACATAAAACAAACTATGAAAAAAACAGCTAATTTAGAAGTGAATGGAAGCAGAGCTTTAAGTGCACACACGTTCATAAATTCTTTAAATATTAAATATGGTAATGCTTTAATCACTCAGTCTGAATGGAAGAATAGAAACGAGGCCACTGCTTGCTTCTACAACTCTGCTGTCCATCCGACCTGCTGTGTGTGCTCTGCAGTTAGTCCCGGTTGTGACTCCCGTGTACTACATATACGAATCACAAAGATCAGATACAGAAGCAAAAGTAATCCAGTCTAGCACACGCACGCATGCATACACATTTAATATATAATATAAGATAATGAGATCATGTATAAGATCATGTACTTTGGCCACCAAATTTAGAGGCCTGTGGGGCCAGTGCTTCAAAATATTAGTATCCTTCTACACACTCATATCTTGTCTAAGAGCTGGCTGTAAACATGATAAAGGATTAAGGTAATGGCTTCTCCTGAGCTCAAACAACCCCTCAGATCAACAATGAGTCACCTCTACATGAGCGCGTCTCCTGCTATAGTGATGTGTGGCAACTCCCAGGTGCTTCCAGGTTGAATTAAGACTAAACCTTGTGACAATGAGTCGGCCCTAAAGTTCAACTGGTAGCTGCTGTACATTGTACCGTGTTGGAAAAAAAAATAAACTGGAAAAACAGGCACCACTCACACACTTCATAAAAGGCCGAAATGTACACCTGTATATGCTATAGCATATCTACAAAGTGCTTGTGTAACTTTTCAGCAAACAGATGTATCTAATTCCTATCAAAAGGCACATAAAATGTTCAGGTTAATTACAGATGATGTGTGGCAAGTGCTCTCCCAGTCCCAAGTCCCGCTCATATAATGAATGTGCACCGCGTGGTAGTCTATGTATGTACTCTTACCCGAGAGTGATTGTGACATGCTCTCACCCAGTGCTTTTATAACCAAATGCTTTTATGTGTGCCATTTGAATAGTCAGTGTACTTCCTCTTGTGGCTGAATTGCATGTATGTGTGCTATCACCGCTCAATAGCAAAGAAACCGGCCAAACAAGCTACTTTAGAAAGAGCTTGTTTTGTTTTTTTTATCTGCAAGGTGATCTCACTAACTTGAAATGTGGGAGAGGACAACAGGAACAGCCTGTTGAGGAGTGCGGCAGCTTAACCTTCACACCACAGAAAATGGGGAGACATTAAGCCTATTTCCTTGTTTTCTAAACTTTTGCCAAAAACAGAAATGGCAGAGCAAAAGAGGAAGATTGTTTGGGAGGTTGTGTCTGCTACAAATGCAAGCTTGTGCTAAATTCTGATGAGACACTATGTACTTTGGGGTCAAAAGCAATGTAATATATTAAATGCCGTGGAGATAAATTCAGCTACAAAAATCCACATCCCTTAACAAAGTAGGTGACTCACTTTACCTCCAATGCTTTACCCTCTTAGCCTTCCCAGTAACATATCTGAACTTCATCATTTAAAGAAATAAGCATGCTAATCAAACACAAAACTCTCATGTGGCCCAATACAACTCAAATTAACTGCTGTGAGCTCCAAAACAAACAGTAAGTCTTGAATGCAAATCCTGCAGGATGTCCTGGATAAACAGAAAAAGAAGTAAAGCTAAAGAGCCAGATGGCAAAACAGACTGCAGTGATTTACTGAAAATAGTTCCACAATGTGCAGTTTATAAACAACCCTAAATTTATGTTTTTTTAAAGGGCTTTAAAAGAGGGAACTAATGATTGCAGATATACAGTGACTATTTTGAAAGGCAGAAATATCTTGCAAAGTATTGACAGTGATCAGAGCAACATCCTGGGAGTGCACCCAGCACAGAGCATATTCTACCGCCACTATTTAATACAATTATACTATTGTTCCTATCAACAATTAAAAATTATCGTGTTAAAAGTAAGCAAGCAAACACTTATAAAAAACGTCCCAAAATATTTTCTTTATATAGTTGATATCTTAGGCTGGCCCATTAATTTGTCACGCAAGAGAATCTAAAGTACGTAAAGTGGTTGAATCTGCAGCCACTCTGCCCTTCTAAGGCAGGTTTACAACTAGGGCGTAACTTTAGACTGACGTTACGTAAAGTAAAGTAACTAGCTTAGATTTATGGCATTTCCAAATTTATCTTACCTACCGGACAATCAAAAACACAGTCCGAGAATGTTTGATCACGCTAGAAACCATGTCTACATAATTACTCAATTAGCCATAATGACTTACCGACCAACAAAATTTTCTAAGACTGAGCTTTTTCCAGCGCTCTGTCCACCAACCACAGCAATCTGCGGAAGATCTAAATTACAACTCTGGCCAATGGAGCTAAAAGCGTCTTGAAGCTTGTTGATGAGGGGAATCAGGTCTTCCATGCCCCGGTTCCCCATGGCTTCGTTAGGTCAGAGAGCCCCTACAACACAACGCAGACCAGAGGCTAACGCTAGCCGCGATAACTAGCGAGGTAACGTTAGCCTGAGAGTAAGGTGCTCTCGGTTTACTCTGAAGTGTTGAGTTCCGCCGCCTCAAACAGCCAGTGCTTATATTCCTTCGACAAACACTTGAACAGCTATCGGAAATGCAGTTCACAATAATATCGATTCATGTTCTTTTAAGTGCACTAACTAAATACACAGTCAGTCGAAAAGGACGGAAAACTCGCAAAACAAAACTTCCTCTACAGAACGCCATCCGGTCGGAGGAGACAACATCCGATCGAAACTGGTGCGTATAGGCCCGCCTCCTGTCTGAAAAATCAGGGAGTCTATTGGCTAATTCTGCTGCCTCTCTATCAATTCTGTATGTTGATTGGATAAGTTAAAGTCGATTTGTTCACTCTAAAACCAATAACTAACTTGCAATGCAGACTGACGTTAAACCGCGAAGAAGAAATGTTCTTTTCTAATTGGTCAATAATATTGTCAATTATATCTGCTTACGTCATAATTTTGTTCCGTGTAACATGGCTGCTCATGTGGAGCGTGGAACTGATTCAACTACTTCAATAAAAAATATGTCCCTAAAGAAATCTCTCTCTGCAGCGGCTTCCCTCACCTTACAAATTGTTGCTGAATGCCCAGTGACAAAAGCAAGAGCTTGTAATCTAATGCTGCCACACTGCGCCGTTAACACTCCAGTTTTTATGCCCGTCGGTACTCAGGGGACAATGAAGGGAATCACTGTGGATCAGCTGGAGGGTCTTGGATGTCAGATTTGTCTTGGAAACACATACCACCTCGGCATGAGACCGGTAGGCGATGCTACATTAATAGCAGTTTAGCTACGATTCATTTGGACTTTAAAAGTGTCTATGCGAATTCGTGGCACTGTTTAGTAAATGTTTTTCCATTTCAACTCTACTGCCTACAGGGATCTGATGTGATCGAGAAAGCCAATGGCTTACATGGGTTCATGAACTGGAAGAGAAATATTTTAACTGTGAGTGTGGATTTCCTAAATGAATCAGTCATAAGTAACGAAAGAGCTGAAGGCAGGGAAAGTACACATAATAAAATAGAGCTAACGTGCTTTGTGGTCAAATGTTGTTTCACTTTCCTTGTGCTTACAGGACAGTGGAGGGTTTCAGATGGTGTCTCTTGTTGAACTCTCAGAGGTCACTGAGGAAGGGGTCAAGTTCAAGTCCCCCTATGATGGCAAAGAGATCCTTCTAAGTCCTGAGAAATCCATCAGCATACAGAACAGTCTGGGTCTGCAAGTAGTAAAAACAAAAAGTAACAAAGACTTGGACATTTTCTTCATTTTCCCTGTAGCTAATAGATATCCTGTCCACGTTTCTCTGTGTTCTTCCAGGGTCAGACATCATGATGCAGCTGGATGACGTGGTCAGCAGTACCATGACAGGACCACGCGTGGAGGAGGCCATGCACAGATCCATTCGCTGGCTGGATCGCTGCATAGCAGCTAATAAGAATCCACACAAACAGAACCTTTTTGCTATCATCCAAGGAGGGCTGAATGCAGACCTGCGCAAGGCCTGTCTACATGGTAACAAAAAAAATCCTGCTCTGTGGCGATCCTTTTTCCACTTGTGTTTGCCTACCTCCATATCTGTGCACAAGCATTCAGTAAATAAGAGTTTAAGTGAGTATTTCAGGGTATTTATTATCAAATTTAAAGGGGACAAATAAGATACTGGCATCAAACTACATTTGGCAAGGTCAAAAGAATGCACATATACATTTTGATGTCGTGGTGTCAGGTGTAATTATTGTGTATATACTGTAAGCACTATACACATTGTAAATAAAGTTAATAATATGCAGTGCTACTAGTGCAAGTCTGGTGGATAATCTGAAAATAACTGTACAGCGTGATAGCACTTGGCAAAAAGCGTTCTCTGTCACAGCGGAAATGAAGAGGCTGATTCTGATGCTGCTGCCGCAGCAAGTAGCTCTGAAGAATATTGCAACTGCCACAACAGAGTGGCAGAAGATTTGTAATATTTTGCTGCACACATTAAAGGCTAATGAGAATCACCTTTATTGGCCAAGTATGTTACGCACAAGGAATTTGTTTTCAGTACAGAACCTGACTAAAGGACCTGAACTTCCTCAGAAACAAGATTATCCTCTGTCCCTGCCTCTTGTTGCATTTCCAGTCCAGTCTGTTGTCAAGGTCTTGCCAATTTTAAACGGTTTATCTGTGAGACACTGATGATTAGTGGTCAGACTTGCGGTTTAGATATTGTATCTCCTTTCTGTAGAAATGACTCAGCGTGATGTTCCTGGTTTTGCTATCGGAGGCCTGAGTGGTGGAGAGGAGAAGGATGATTTTTGGCAAATGGTTACGTTGAGCACTGACCACCTTCCACGAGAAAAGCCTCGGTACCTCATGGGCGTGGGGTAAGTTTGCCTGTATGCAGTGGAACTTCTTCTGAAAACTGCTATTTATTGGCAATGGTGTTATTCACTGACATAAGTCTGTGTGATCCTCACATGCTGCAGGTACGCTGTGGATTTGGTGGTGTGTGTTGCTCTAGGATGTGATATGTTTGACTGTGTGTTCCCCACTCGCACTGCAGTAAGCTCTCTTTACCTTCAACACTGATAAATCATTTTTAACACATCATTTAGCAGTTATAAGTTCACACCAAGAACCAACAGCCACATTTCCTCCCCTTCAGAGGTTTGGCTCTGCTTTAGTGCCATGGGGGTCTCTCCAGGTAAAACAGAAACAGTACGCCAAGGACTTCCGACCCATAGACCCAGACTGTCAGTGTCCTACCTGCAAGAGGTAAGTTGAGAAGAAGTCATTGCAAGAGGCTGGAGGTTTGGCTCACATGATAAAGCTTTTAAGTTGTTCCTCTTTGGTTTGTCAGAGCATTTGTCTTACAACAGAAGGCTATGAAGCAGAGTTTTCAAAAGATATCTGACTAGACCTACAGAAGTAATTACTGTCAGTGTTTCAGTTTGGTAGTAGTGAATAATAGCTGGTGTCTAGACATTTTGTACCACAGATATGTTGTAAAACTGTCATACTGGAAGGAAGATGTAAACAATATACCTATCTTCTATTTCAGACATAGTCGTGCTTACCTACATGCTCTGTTTAAGAGTGACACTGCAGCCATGCATCATATCACCATCCACAACATCGCCTACCAGGTCAGTTTCAGTGGTACTGGATACATGTCACAAACCAGATGTGACAAAAGGAAGTGAGCATTCAGGCCTGTAGCTTGAAGTGGCCACTGAGTGTATGTTCTTATCAATTTCAAGCACATTATCAATCTATTTGACTTTAACAAAATATACTGAAATTCAATGTATCACAACACAAAAATGTCACAAATAGGTATCATTTTATCTAGCGATATATATATCATGTGCTCTCCATACACCAGCAGCTTTATATTTTTTGTAAATAAGACAGCCTAACAGTATGTAAGGTTATTCGTTATATAATCAGACCAGTGCTAGAAAGAGGAATAAAGTACAAATATTCCAGTTATATTTTCATTTTTTTAAACTGATTATTTGATTTAAAGAAGCGGGTATCTCTGCTGCTTGTATTAAATGTCTGTTTTTGCCCTTTTTTGGCTTCATTAGTTCTCTGTATCTGCCATCCTGCCACTGAAGGACATTAACTCCAGTCACATCTCAGTATAACGTGTTTCAAAGTCTAATTGCTCTACCAGGAATCTGACTAAAAATGTTGAGCTTTACAGTTGTGACAGTTGCACAGTTTTTCCTTGTTTCATCAAGTGTTTCTCTTTGCAGCTGAACCTGATGAACTCTGTGAGACAGAGCATTGTGGAAGGCCGCTTCCCAGAGTTTATACAGACATTCATGAAACGAATGTTTCCTTCCCGTGACCAGTACCCCAGCTGGGCTGTGGATGCTCTGGCCTCTGTCAACATTACATTGGAGTAGAACTTGTTGAAGGGAACTATTTTAATGTAAATGAGGATGAGTGTCAACCAGTGGCTGAAAGATTTTATATAATTTAAATGACTTTTTTTATATGGATGATTGTTTTATACTCTTATACAGTAATATTTACATGGCCAGTTTTGCTGGAACAGAAATGGCTTTTGATGTGAAGGGATGAGGCCTGATTGTCTTTTACATCAGCTTGATTAACTCAGCCTCTGCAAACTGCCATGAGAGTACACATTATGATAATGCGAGACTGAATGGGGTTTAAATGAGGTTTGAAACACATGAACTATCTCTGATATGCTCAGACACTTTGTTGTTACCATGGCTACACAGCCGGGCCCACCCACTTGAAATGTTTTGCCTTCCTGTCAAGCTCTTTGTAATAGTTTGTGGCTGAGAGTATTACAGAGGTATGTCATTTTTCCTAAGGGCACAAGATTAATAAATGTAAAGGGACTTACTGTTTTAACCTGCGCCCTAACTGACTAGGAGCTGTCACCTATATAATCACATAAATGAACCTAACTCACAGCACATTGTGTTTGTGTCATGATGACCACCAGAAGGCAAAAGAAGTGGCAATAAAACTGAAAGATATGCTGCATAAAGTTTCCTAATAGAGTAAACCGGTTCAGCTGTCTCAAAATAATAACATATTGTTACAGTCAGATACGTCTATGATGCAGAAACACTGGCATCAATCATTCACAATCAGAAATCTGCATCTTTCTACTGAAGTTTTATTGAAAGTCATTGTAATTGTTCTCATTAATTCAGTAGCAGTAGTTTTTGACCAAAGTGAAGGTTTTGTTTGGAGCTTGCAGAGGTTCTTCTTTTATAAGGCTCATTTTTAGATGATTATTATTAGTCATTTGAAGTTTCTAAACTTCTAGTTTTGAATATAATGATTTATTGTTTTAGATCTCTTACAGGATTATGGCTCTATTTCCTGAGAAGGGATATTTTTCCCCTAGAATATCCTGCACTTCGACTGTGTTTTCTGATTATTTTTACCATATGGAAGCTCAGAAAAAGACCAACAGCACTTACAGCTCAGATGGTAAGCCGTGCAGATTCGTGTTAAGTGTCTAAAAATGGATGCGCAAAACCGAAAGGTTGCACTAAATAAACTGGATGTGTTCTTGTGTTTATTTCAACAAGACGACTCCCAGCATGTCATATAGTCATGCCTCCTTAAATTGGCTCTTAAATGAGAATAAAAGGCTATTCAAAATAAGAAGAAACTACAGCTCTCCATGCAGTCTCACGACATCTCTGGAAATCACGAGTGTCAGTTTTATTATCATTTGGGATTACAGAGATCAGCGTTGCGACCACAGTGCAGTGGAGGTGTTGATGGATAATCTTGTTTATTATGTAGTTTTTTGCGTGCATTGTTTTTGTTATTGTTGGGTTTGTATTCTTTAAATAAAAAGTCGTTGCTACAGTATAGTATTCCCCAACGGCGGATTACACATTTGCATCAGTGCGTCCATGCGGAGCTCATGCAGGGAGGATGCTGGTGCTGAGAGAGACAACCAGTTGCTCTCCAGCTGTCACTGTAAAAGTGGAGCCTCCCCTATACGCAACGACGGATGAACATCTTCGACCTGTTGCCTTTACTGGACAGTAGAGCTGCTTTGTGACGGGTGCCAAAAAAAGAGAAGTAGAATTTTCTTTATTGAGGTGGGACGTCGAAGGCGATACCATGAGGTGTATCAATGTATTCGTTATTAATCTACGTTTTGAATAGCAGAAGGAAGAGACACGGAGTTGGTTTTGGGGGAGTCCACCTCCTCAGTGTGGAGGTGCGGTTTGCGGTGATATCTATCTCTGTCTCTGGTCTCTGAGGAGGAGGACCATGGTCGAACTGGAGAAGGAGGTGCTCCCATTGCCCCCACGGTACCGGTTCCGAGACCTGTTGCTCGGTGACTGGCAGACCGATGATAGGTACGTATGCAACTACTTGCACCGTTTACGCACGGCGTACTGAATCCGTTGCGCATCTGTACACCAGGACATATCAGCCCGTCTAAAAAGTACTCGTTCTTTGCTTTTCTGCCTGTGATTTCATGGATTCTGGTCTGTGAACGTGGCAAAGCTGTGCAGCTCTGTTGTTACGAATGCTGCAACAGGTTTATTCGTTCCCCTGTGTGCGCAGAAGCAACTGTTGCTACTGCTAAAATAATAGTATCACACCAACAAATATATGAAGAGAAAAATATTCAAAATGCCAGAAAGACTAAATGTTCATTCAGGAATGTTTAATTTATTTGCACGTCATGCAAGTGGCGCGTGTGTGAATATTTGAAACACCAAAAACATTCCCTTCAAGAAGGAAGAAAGGACTGAGCAAGTAGACCAGTACATCACCATATTTTCTTACTCCTCATGCTGTAATTCATGAGAGTTACAGTGAATCATCTGCCACCTGCAATTTCAATTGTGTGCTCTCAGAAACTGCCAATTAACCTTTGCTTACACTCGCCGTGCAGTTCAGTATGTGCGCTATGATATACCTATATGCTTGCTTAATTTGGCTATTTCATTATGGTCATTTATGGAAAACCTTAGCTCCATTTCATGCACGGCGTTTCTTGTTGCTAGGTGGAAAAAAGAACCAAAACACTGCTTGTCGACCTGAGTGGGTGTTTCGAACCAAATGGGGAAAGTTGATATTGAAGGCATGGAGGAGATAACCATTTCAAGTCTAGCCATTGCCAAGACTTATAACAGAGACCACTGCTTTTATACTGTAGCCTCCCTGACACGAACGTCAGAAAAAGCAAAATAGGTGTACAGTGGCAAAGTGGTTGTGATTGATTTGGCAGGTCTGGAGAATGATGAGGCAATTGGACAGGGCTCAGTGTGTGTGTGTGTGTGTGTGTGTGTGTGTGTGTGGACGCGTTTTTCCTGCTACGTGGGGACTTCTTCCTGACTCCATACCAACTCATGAGGACCCATTTCACGGTGGGGACCTAAAGTGAACATTTTGGGCATGGAATCCACGCTGAATCCACCCTTCTGATGGGATCAGTTTAATCCAGATTTTCTGGATCAAAGTGATCCAAATCCTACAAAAAAGTTCTGAAAAACCCTAAATGAAGGTTTGATCCGGATCAAAACCAAGATTGGATTACATGATCTAATCCGATTATGTAATCCGTTTCTTCTTTTGAAAAACCCATTTTCAAGATTTGATCCAATCCATTATCCAAAATCCTAGTGGATTACTTTTGAAAAACCGGGCCCTGGTGTCAATCACTAAAGTTCCCATAATGGGGGCTCTATATGTTAAATTTGTCTATTGCAGGACTGCAGTGTCCAGTGCACACATGCCACCTGTTTCAAATAGTAGATATATCCTAGTTATGTGTGTGTTT